CTCCTAACTTCCCAAACTACGAATTCTCTGCATTATATTCACACCACACATATGCCCTCAGACATGACATCTCCACTGCCTCCAGCCTTCTCCTCGCTGCAACATTCATCACCCACGCTTCACACCCATATAAGAGCGTTGGTAAAACTATACTCTCATACATCCCCTCTTTGCCTCCAAGGACAAAGTTCTTTGTCTCCACAGACTCCTAAGTGCACCACTCACTCTTTTTCCCTCATCAATTCTATGATTCACCTCATCTTTCATAGACCCATCCGCTGACACGTCCACTCCCAAATATCTGAATACTTCACCTCCTCCATACTCTCTCCCTCCAATCTGATATTCAATCTTTCATCACCTAATCTTTTTGTTATCCTCATAACCTTACTCTTTCCTGTATTCACCTTTAATTTTCTTCTTTTGCACACCCTACCAAATTCATCCACCAATCTCTGCAACTTCTCTTCAGAATCTCCCAAGAGCACAGTGTCATCGGCAAAGAGCAGCTGTGACAACTCCCACTTTGTGTGTGATTCTTTATCTTTTAACTCCACGCCTCTTGCCAAGACCCTCGCATTTGCTTCTCTTACAACCCCATCTATAAATATATTAAACAACCACGGTGACATCACACATCCTTGTCTAAGGCCTACTTTTACTGGGAAAAAATTTCCCTCTTTCCTACATACTCTAACTTGAGCCTCACTATCCTCGTAAAAACTCTTCACTGCTTTCAGTAACCTACCTCCTACACCATACACTTGCAACATCTGTCCACATTGCCCCCCTATCCACCCTGTCATACGCCTTTTCCAAATCCATAAAATGCCACACAAGACCTCTTTAGCCTTATCTAAATACTGTTCTCATTATATGTTTCACTGAAACACCCGGGCCACACACCCCCTACCTTTCCTAAAGCCCCTTGTTCATCTGCTATCCTATTCCCCGTCTTACTCTTAATTTTTTAAATTAATTAAACCCATCATTTTACCGGGTACACTCAACAGACTTATCCCCCTATAATTTTTGCACTCTCTTTTACCCCCCTTTGCCTTAAAAAGGAACTAGCGCTCTCTGCCTTTTCCCTAGGTACCTTACCCTCTTCCATAATTTATTAAATAATTGCCCCAACCCCCTCCAAAACTATATCCCCCCCCTGCTTTTAACTTTTTCTATCTTTACCCATCAATCCCGCGCCTTACCCCCCTTTCATTTTCCTCTGCCTCAAGAATTTCCCCCCACACTCCAACTGGCTCTTCCTCACTCCACAAGTTTATTCCTCCTTGCCCTATACACGAAATCACAGTTCCCTATCTTCATAAACATTTAACAATCCTAAAAATATTCCCCCTTTTCCCCAAATACCTCTACCTCCCCAAAATTAAAAAAACTCTCCTTCCTATTTTTAACTGACAAACCCATTTGTTCCTAGGCTTTTTTAAACTTGTTAATTCACCCCAAAATTTTTTTCTTATTTTCAACAAAATTTGTTGATAAACATCTCACCCACTCCCCATTTCTCTCTTTTTTACATTGCTTCCCCCAACTCTCTTAACTTCTCTCTTTTCCCATATACCTTTTCCCTCCTTGCACACTTCTACTTTGTAAAAATTTCTCATATCAACTTTTTTCCCCTTACTACTCTCTTTACACATCATTCCCCAAATCGCTCCTCTTCCCTCCGACCCACTTTCCCTTAACCAAAAAACTTTTGCTGAACACTCTAACACTACATTTTTAAACCTCCCCCAAAACCTCTTCGACCCCATTCCCTAGCTCTCTTTAGCCCATCTACCCCCAATAGTTTTATATCTTACCCTAACTCCTCCTCTTTTAGTTTAAAAACCTTCACCTCCTCTTCCCTGTGTTTTTATTCTCCTTGATCCCACTACCTTTTACTCTCAGTGTAGCTAAAAATAAAAATGATCGATATATCTGGGGCCCCTCTAAAACAGAAACACCCTAAAGTCTACTCAACAGTTTTTTACTCCCAAACAAATCCAAAAAACTACTGTCATTTTCGCCCTACATCATATCGTGAAACTTATTTATCCTTTTTTTTCTTAAAATATGTATTACCAAAAACTAAAAACCCCCCTTTCATACAAATCAATAAAAGGGCTCCCTTTATATTTAAAACCTGGCACCCCAAACTTACCTCCCACACCCTCTCAAAAAGTTTTCTCCTACTTTAGCATTCAAGTCCCCTACCAAATTACCTCCCCATTGGTTCAAAGGCCCTATACTTTCACTTAAATCCCCCAAAAATCCTCTCTCCCCCTCTCATTCCTCTCTTCTCCGGGTGCATACACGCTTATTATGCCCCACTTCTCGATCCAACCTTTATTTAAAATCCAAAAAATTTAAATTTACACATTATATTCTCTTTTCCCCCTTCCCATCCCTGATCATTTAACTTTACTGCTCCCCCTTCCTTTGCTCTAACTCCCCAGATACTCCAGATTTAATCCCCTTTATTTCCCCCCCCCTGAAAACCCCCTACCCCCCTTTAGCTTTGTTTTTGCTTAGGGCCCGGAATCCCAAATTCTTTTTATTCATAACATCACAATCATCTTTTTTTGAAACCGCACTACACCAGCACATTTAAGAACCCATTTTTTAAAGTTTTCTTCTTCTCTTTTTTTGTAAATTTTATAAGGAGAAGGGGTTTTCAAACCCCTTGCCCCGGGATTTTAGTCGCCTCAAACACACTCATGGCTTACGGAGGAAAGATCTTTTTCCACTTCCCCAGGACAAAAAAAGAAATAAAAAAAAACAAAAGCTATTTTAAAAAAGGAGAAAAACCAGATGTTGTATATATATATATGCATGGCGTGTCGTAAGTGGACCAAATTAAGTCGGAGTAGAAAATACCCTTTATCTTTGCGTGTTTATAGACAGAAAAAAAAAAACCACAATCCTACCCTCATGCAAAACAGTTAAAGGTTTTTTTTTCACAGTCACTGGGAGGACGGGGAGTACTTCCTGGTGGTTGGTCTACCCAAACCCACTCCTATACATATATATTAAATTTAATATAATATATATTTTTTTTTTTTTTTTTTGAAACAAGTTGGCCTCTCCCACTGAGGGAGGGGGACCCAAAAAAAAAAGAAAAAACCCCAAAAAAAAAATACTTTCATATCATTCAACACTTTCACCTCACTCACACATATACTTTTTGCAGAGGTGCTCAAACACAACAGCTTGAACTATACTTATAAAAAACACAACAATCCCTCCAAACTGCTAATACCCAAACCCCTCCTTTAGAGTGCAGCATTTTATTTCCCCTTTCCAGGACTAATCCCGCTATATAAAAATAACCGGTTTCCCTGAAACCCTTTACAAAATATTTTCCCTGCTCACACTCCAAAAGATCGTCAGGTCTCAATACCTTCGTCCCATTCAATGCACTAACTTGAAGGTTACTCAGCCCGAACAGCTTTTAACAGTTTACCAAGGGTGGTCCCCCTCGGAAAATTTAAAAAATAAAAAAGAAAAAAATTACAAACAAACACTTTTTTTATTAAAAAAATATAAAAAAAAGACTTAAAAAATGAAATATTTAACCTACTTTTAAAAAAAAATGAAAAATGAAAAATATAAAAGTATTTAAATTCAATGCTAAAAATGTACAAATCAAATTGGGTGTCTATGTTGGTGACACTGGTGTTGTTAAATCGAAAGGGGCCCTTTTCGATGGAGGGGGGGGATCACAGGGGTTGGGGACAACCCAAGGCTCGTTCTTCACAATCTAAGCCCGGGAAAAATCAGTCCAGATGACGGAAAAACAGGTTTTTTACCACGAATGAGAGGGGTTATTTCCCGTGACTGCTACATAAAACAGGTAAGAGATCCCAAATGGGACTTTTCGGACGTGATCCCCTCTCCTTCAAAACTTCTTGTTTGGGTTTGGGAGGTGACCCAATCTGTCATTTAAGAGTAGTGTGGGGCTGTGGTCAGTGATTATTTTGACCGGAGCCCCCCACTTTACCTTTCGGGGGGGGGGGGGGAAAAGCGGAGCTAGGGTTGCCCCACCCTAACAAACAGCCGGCAATCAAACTATCACTTTCGGGGTGGGGGAAAAATGGGGGGATAGCGGGAGCTAGACTTACCCTCCCTTAACAAGTAGCCGGCAATCAAACTATTGTTACCATATACTCGCTCGCTACTCCTATCTGTTGAACTTTTCCCTCACACTAACAGGCTCACGCACGCTTGCTGGAAGTCCAAGCCCCTCGCCCACAAAGCCTCCTTTACCCCCTCCCTCCAACCTTTTCAAGGACGATCCCTATCCCGCTTCTTCCTTCTACAGATTTATACGTTCTCCATGTGATTCTACTTTGATCCATTCTCTCTAAATGACCAAACCACCTCAACAACCCCTCTTCAGCCCTCTGACTAATACTTTTATTAACTCCACACCTTCTCCTAATTTCCACACTCAGTCTCCCACCGAGGCAGGGTGACCCAAAAAAAGAAAGAAAATACCCAGAAAGAAAATACTTTATCATTCAACACTTTCACCTCACTCACACAATCTCTGTTTTTGCAGAGGTGCTCAGAACACAACAGTTTAGAAGCATATACGTATAAAGATACACAACATCTTTATACATAGTATTTACATTTATACACATGAATATTAATTGGCCTCTGTGCCCTTCAACCCTCAGATGCCATGGGCTGATGCACCCCTTCAAACCAATAAAAATGAAATGCTGAGATGTTATCACCTGAGTACTTTTTTAAATATTCTTTTTTAAAGAGCTTTCTATTTTATATGACCAAAAGTTATCAAGATAGGGTGGTTCCTTTCATTTGGAATAAGCAAAGGAAAATCAGTTGTTCAGCCAGTAATTGCTCCTGTCTAGTATTAAAACATTGATAGGATAATGCTATGTGATTGAGAAACTTTTATATTTATCTAGTTACAGATGATTTTATGATGAAAATCCCTTAAAAAATAATTTAAATCTTCTACATTTCAGAAGCAGAATGCAGGTGGAGAGACAGATTTCTCTGTTTTAAAAAAACTAAAGGCAGTAATTTTCTACCAGCTTGCTATAACATCTTCATCTTTAAGAAGTTTGGCAAAATGTTCTGCCTTGGAGGCAGTACACTTGCAGAACTGTGCGAATATTACTAATGAGATTCTTCTGGAGTAAGTGTTTGTTTGCTTCTTGTGCTTTTTCTGATTTAACCCCTTAAGTGTCCATGCTGTAATTTTATGGATTTGAAGTCTGTCCATGCTGTAAAACTAGGGGAGGAGCTCAGCTCATTCAGATAAGCAGTGAGCAGTAAATTTGGGCCCAGATGTGAGAAAGTGTGCACCATATAAAAAAAGAAAATCCTGCCCCAGGCAGTGCATAGTGGGAAAAAACTGCGATCGTGTTTTTGGTGTAAAATAGCGACTTTGCAGTGTATTTTCAGATGGTTTTTATAAGAACATAAGAAAGGAGGTACACGGCAGGAGGCCTGTTGGCCCATACTAGGCAGGTCCTTTACAATTCATCCCACTAACAAAACATTTGCCCAACCCAATTTTCAATGCTACCCAAGAAATAAGCTCTTATCCAACCTAAATTTGAAACTACCCTAAGTCCTAGCCTCAGTAACCCAACTAGGTAGACTGTTCCACTCATCAACTACCCTATTTCCAAACCAATACTTTCCTATGTCCTTTCTAAATCTAAACTTATCTAATTTAAATCCATTAATGCGGGTTCTCTCTTGGAGAGATATCCTCAAGACCTTATTAATATCCCCTTTATTAATACCTATCTTCCACTTATACACTTCGATCAGGTCTCCCCTCATTTTTCGTCTAACAAGTGAATGTAACTAAAGAGTCTTCAATCTTTCTTCATAAGGAAGATTTCTAATGCTATGTATTAATTTAGTCATCCTACACTGAATGTTTTCTAACGAATTTATGTCCATTCTGTAATATGGAGACCAGAATTGAGCTGCATAATCTAGGTGAGGCCTTACTAATGATGTATAAAGCTGCAGTATAACCTCTGGACTTCTGTTGCTTACACTTCTTGATATAAATCCCAGTAATCTATTTGCCTTATTACGTCCGCTTAGGCATTGCTGTCTTGGTTTAAGGTTGCTGCTCACCATAACCCCCAAGTCCTTTTCGCAATCTGTATGGCTAAGTTGTACATCATTGAACTTATAAGTACTAGGGGTATGCACACCTCACTAATGCTGCAAACCCTGGCTCATTCAACACAACAATCAATGAACTGTTTCGCCTAAACAAAATGCCAAACTTCAACTTTCCAGACTCACCACCATCACAAGACCTTCTCAAGCTAATCCCAGACATTGTTAACTTCACCTCAATCCCTGGTCCTACTCGTATCTCTGACCAAGACTACTCCAGAACCAACACCACCATCGACTGCCGCCTTTCACCACCCACAACCAGCCCAACAGACCACAACCGACCAACACTCCCTGCCTCCTCTCAACACAGTCACAGAAGACGAAATAGAATCAGAACATTATGAACAACCCTCTGACGACGACGAAGTAGTAGTCTAAGAAGTAATCGAAGAAACCACAGGCAACCGTTACCTAAGTCAAGCCTTTAATGGGTCTCTAACCTTCTACACCACTCCCAACCGAAATGAGCGCAGCTGATATGCTTCACTTAATGAAAGAGGGAGCTGTTAAGTAAACCTGCACCAAACCTCGCCTCATTTGATAGAATGGAAGATGTATTACAGAAATAGAGATTATTTTGATTGGTTTCTGGACTGGAAGTGCACTGTAGCTTGAAATTGAGCTCAAAGTAGCAGAAATATTTGATTTTTGCCAATATTTCAGAGTAAAAAAAATCATATGCATTCATGAATGCACTGATATTATTTATACAATTATTACAATAATGCATAAGTATAAATTCTCTATTTTTCTGTGTGAAAAATTCAAAATGGAATTTGTGGGAACAGAGGATATGTTATTACCAATTTCTGATCACTTTACTGAGCAGTTGAAATAGTTGATGGGGTGGTGTCTTGTTCTCAGTCAGTAAAGTGGAAGCCATATTAATGAAATAATTAAGAATTTGGTTGACTAGAACAGTGTAACTGGCCTAAAATAGGACTCAAAGTGGGCAAAATTGCCGATGCATAAATATAGCTGACACAGCGAAATTTGCAGGAGTGTAATTTCATAAGTTTTCCATCAGATTTTGTACTTTTTGTTTTACCTTCAGAAAAAGATTCTCTACCATTTCATAATTTTTTTTTCCATAACATTCTTGAACCCTTTGGACACTTCAGATCAGGAAAGGGGAGGGGGGTCTGGACATTTAAGGGGTTAATACAGTGCTTGCTTATTATGGTGTCAGAGCTTGTCAAAATTTAGAAGCAATGGTAATGTTTGTAGAAAAAACCAGCAAGCATTGGATGAGTTAGTGCCTTAGGCAATTAGGGATTATAGTAGTACGTACTGTACTGGAGCAGAATATGTATGTGCACAATAATAAGAGAACTGTCACTGTCCATTGACCAAAACTATTCAACCTGTTACTAGCAGGTACCCTAAACATTGCTCAGTGGTTTTAAGAGGAAATTGGATGACTGTATGTCAGATCAACCAGACTATGTTTGCTAAGTGGGCTAGCAGGTGTCTTGCAGGAAGCACCAGAGTTCTGCAACACTAGAGGGACACAGTAATTTGATTTTGTGATTAATTTTTTGACTGCTTAAACATCTCATTGTACTTTCTCATTTTACTGGGCAAGCATGATATTAAAACAAAGGCTAGTCGAAGCAGAATGGCTTTTGAAGTGCAGAAAATAGAGTTATTTTAAGATGATGAATTTCTTTAAAAATTACAGGTTATGTAATGAATATGTAAATTTGGTATAATGATCCTATTAACATGTTTTCTAGGTGTCAGATGAAAGCCTCCCCTCGTACTTCTAGTCTGTGTGCATCATGGTTATTACAGCTTAGATTGTGCCTTGTTTGATAGCTACTTTCTTCTTGTCTTGATGGCACAGTTTGGTCTGGGCCTTCATGGTTCCACACCAGAAAGCTGCATTGTAAAGGATGAAAGAAGCCTTTCTCCATCTCATACCATGAGGGGGGGGGGCCCTGGGTTTTCCCCACCTCCCAAACTGTGGTGTTTCCCGTTGACAACTGGACTGTGTGGGCACCACCACATGTAGTCCAAAATTAGAGAGTAGCATTGAGGAAGGGCTTAACTGAGACTGTAAACCATTAATGGGGATAAGAGAGGCCAGTATTAGGAAATAGGCATAAAATATTCTGTATTGATTCTCCATAGTCCCTAATGCAGAAAGGGTTCTCTTCTGTTTCAAAATGATGTTTTATCGGTAGTCAAATCCACAGCATTTTGATTTAATAAAGCTGCCTTGTGCCCTTTTAAATTGATCTGTAATTTTTTGTAACATTTAATAATTAAATGTTAGTGTATTTAAAAGATAAACTTTCTTTACAGTATTCTTCGAGGATGTCCAAATATAAAGAGGATACGCTGCCCAAATGTAGATTTAAATTTGAGCTTCATTGCAACTGTCAATAAAATAATGGAGGGCAGATCAGGCAAAGTAGTAATTGAAGTTCGTGCTGATTTACTCTCTCCCAAAGAACTTTTGGAAGCCCAGTATGACAGTACAAAGATAACATTTGATATCATATGTAAGTATAATTATTTTTGATGCAAAAAATAAAATTAAATATATCATGTAATAAAATGTTAGCTAAGGGCACTTATGACTGCTGTACCAAAGTATAATAACTTTCATCAACTAGTATGTTGATTGTAAAAGTAGACATAGTTCTTTAAAGGCAAACAAATTTGTATTTAACTTTCCTCTCTTTTCCTTTTGAATCTCTGACACTTCCAGTGCATTTTTTTCATTGATCTGTCTTGTACTTCTACACATCCTTATATACAGTTAATGCAATTACATCCTGCGACTTGGGCTGGATAAATGACATAAGGGTTAGTCTTTTCTTTAGTTCAGAGACGAAAAGAAGTTGAGTTTCCAGCCTATTCTTCACCTTTTATCTCAAGGGGTGTGAGACTGCAGTATTTAGTAATGGGATTACTACTTTATAATTGAAAATATAGATAAGAATTTACTTGTGTACAATTTGTTATAACACTGCCAGTAATGCTAAATGTTGTGTTAGATTGCCTTACTTATAACCTTGATTATACCTCAATATGGTTAATAATGGACAATAGGATAAGAAAATTTATCAGTAGATAAGAGTTCATTGATCTTGTATATAATTTTTTTTTCAGCTGGTTTTTCATTTCTTGACGACTATGCAGATGATGGAGATGGTATGTATTTGTATTTGTGTGTGTAAGTCTTCATTACTTCATTTTTTTTTTTTCAGCAAACCGGCCATATCCCACCAAGGCAGGGTGGCCCAAAAAGAAAAACGAAAGTTTCTCTTTTTAAATTTAGTAATTTATACAGGAGAAGGGGTTACTAGCCCCTTGCTTCCGGCATTTTAGTCGCCTCTTACAATACGCATGGCTTACGGAGGAAGAATTCTGTTCCACTTCCCCATGGAGGTAAGAGGAAATAAACAAGAACAAGAACTGGAAAGAAAATAGAAGAAAACCCAGAGGGGTGTGTATATATATGCTTGTACATGTATGTGTAGTGTGACCTAAGTGTAAGTAGAAGTAGCAAGACGTACCTGAAATCTTGCATATATATATGAGACGAAAAAAATGACACCAGCAATCCTATCATCACAGGCTTCTGTTTTACACTCACTTGGCAGGATGGTAGTACAGTGGACCCCCGGTTAACGAACATTTTTCATCCCAGTAGTATGTTCAGGTGCCATTACTGACCGAATTTTTTCCCATAAGGAATATTGTGAAGTAGATTAGTCCATTTCAGACCCCCAAACATACACGTACACACGCACTTACATAAATACACTTACATAATTGGTCGCATTTGGAGGTGATCGTTAAGCGGGGGTCCACTGTACCTCCCTGGGCGGTTGCTGTCTACCAACCTACTACCTAGGTTCATTACTTAATGTTATCATTAACCCTTTCAGGGTCGACAGGCCCTCTCAGAGACTTGTTCTCAGGGTCGGCCAAATTTCCAAAAAAAAAAAAAAAAAAATTTTCTTATGGAAAGATAGAGAATCTTTTCCCGATCATAATGACACCAAAAGTATGAATTTTGATGGAAAACTTACAGAATTATGCTCTCGTGAAGTTAGCGGTCTCGACGATGTTTACACATCGGCAATTTTGCCCAATTTGAGCCCTATTTTCAGCCAATTCCAGTGTACTTGTCGACAAAAATCATAACTATTTCGCTAGAACTCCATTTTTTCTATCGAATGAGTAAAAGAAACCACCCATTTACCAATTTCAACTATCCAATACAGTGGTCAGAATTTAGCAATTTTGCCAATTTCACACAAATTTCAAAAGATGCCAGTTTCCGAATAGGGTCCAGAATAAACAAAGACATTCCTGGCACTAAAATAACATTTCCTCTGTTCATTAGTCACGTCCCCAGGCCCCTCTTACATTCTTTTGCTTTCCACTTTGAATTTTTATTCTCACAAAAAAATAGAAGATTTACTGTTATGCATAATTCCGCATTAGTGTAGAAATAGTATAAATAATATCAGCGCACTTGTGAAAGAATATTAGACTCATCAGTTGACGTGTATTGGACGCATAGCATGATTTGTTTACTTTTGAACTTTGGTAAAAATCAAACATTTCTGCTACTTTGAGCTCAATTTCAAGGTACTTTTCTTTGTAAAACCAGTCAAAATCATCTCAATTTCTGTAATATGTCTTCCATTCTATGAAATGAGACCAGGAAAACTAGAATACAACAGTAAATACCATACGAAAATACAGTGCAAAGTCGCTGTTTTAATCCAAAAACACGGTCAAAGTTTTTTTTTTTCTCATTACGCACTGTGTGCTGCAGGATTTTTTTTATACCGTGCACACTGACCACATAGACCCATTCTTTCATATGTAGGCCTACCAGCTTTCTCTCACTCGATTTGAGGGTGCTAGAATTTAGGCGTACTAGTACGTCAAAAACCCTGGTGCGTAAGCTGTACTAGTACGGTCGAAACCCTGAAAGGATTAATAAAAGTTAAGCGTTATCTGTGCCCAGCTACAGCTAGCACCCGACTGTAACTGTTTACTTAGATAACTGAGCAAAGATAATGTTAGCTTGTGTAATTCCCACGTATATGGATGTAGAAAAGGCATATAATAGGGTGGATAGAGGAGCAGTGTGAGAAATGTTGCAAGTGAATGTAATAGGTGGTAGGTTACTGAAAGCAGTTTAAGAGTTTTTACGAGGTTAATGAGGCTCAGATTAGGATATGTATAGAGATTGAATTTATTTTTCAGTAAAAGTAGGCCTTAGGATGCTTGATGTCATCATGGTTATTTAACATATTTATAGATGGGGTTGTAAAAGAAGTGAATTCTAAGGTGTTGGGGAGAGGTGTGGGATTAAAATATGCAGAATTTAATACAAAATGGGAGTTGTCACTATTGTTTTTTTGCTGATGACTCTACTTTCGTGAGATTATGAAGAGAAGTTGCAAAGGTTGGTTTATGATTTTGGGAGAGTATTTAGAAGTAGGAAATTAAGTGAAGCTAGGAAAGAGCAAGGTGAAGTGGGAAGTACAATGCCTGCACTTTAAGTATTCGAGTGTCGAGACTCCTGCTCCCAACTTGCTCGTAGTGTCGAAGAATTTAAAATAAAATTATTTTTTCTTGTGAAATGATAGAGAATCTTTTTCTGAAGGTAATGAAACCAAAAATTTGAAATTTGATGGAAAACTTACAGAATTACGCTCGCGAAGTTAGCAGCCTCGGTGATATTTATACATCAGCGATTTTGCCCAATTTGAGTCCAGTTTTGGCCAATTCCTTTGTTCCACTTGACCAGACTTGTAGCTATTTCACTAGTACTCTTTTTATTCTATCGATTAAGTACAGTAAACTGTCCATTTACCTATTTCAACTAGACAAAAAAGTAATCAGAATTTACTAATTTGGCCAATTTTGCACAAAATTCAAGAAAGGCCAATTTTAATATAGGGGCCAGGATAAACAATGCAGACATTCCTGGCACTAAAATAACATTTTTCTCTGTTTCTTAGACATGTCTCCAGGCCCCTCTTATATTATGCTTGCTTTTCATTTTGAATTTTTATTCACAAAAAATAGATGACTTAATGTTATTCAGACTACTGTATAATTGTAATAATTGTATAAATATTATCAGCATATTTGTGAATGCATAGACCCACCAGTTGAGAAACCATTCAGAATCGCCTCTATTTCTGTAATATATCTTCCATTCTGTCAAAGGAGACCAAGAAAACTAGAAGACAACCATAATTTTTTTTTTTTTTCAACAAGTCGGCCGTCTCCCACCGAGGCAGGGTGACCCAAAAAGAAAATACTTTCATCATACAACACTTTCACCTCACTCATACATAATCACTGTTTTTGCAGAGGTGCTCAGAACACAACAGTTTAGAAACATATACATATAAAGATACACAACATATCCCTCCAAACTGCCATTATCCCAAACCCACTCCTTTAAAGTGCAGGCATTGTACTTACCATTTCCAGGACTCAAGTCTGGCTATATAAAAATAATATATTTCTTCTTTCTTTCAACCAGCCGTATCCCACTGAGGCGGGGTGGCCCAAAAGGAAAAACGAAAGTTTCTCCTTTCTTTCTTTCAACACACCGGCCGTATCCCACCGAGACTGGGTGGCCCAAAAGGAAAAACGAAAGTTTCTCCTTTTACATTTAGTAATATATACAGGAGAAGGTTACTAGCCCCTTGCTCCCGGCATTTTAGTCGCCTCCTACAGCACACATGGCTTACGGAGGAAGAATTCTGTTCCACTTCCCCATGGAGGTAAGAGGAAATAAACAAGAACTAGAAAGAAAATAGAAGAAAACCCAGATGGGTGTGTATATATATGTTTGTACATGTATGTGTAGTGTGACCTAAGTGTAAGTAGAAGTACCAAGATGTACCTGAAATCTTGCATGTTTATGAGACAGAAAAAAGGACACCAGCAATCCTATCATCATGTAAAACAATTACAGGCTTCCGTTTTACACTCACTTGGCAGGACGGTAGTACCTCCCTGGGCAGTTGCTGTGTACCAACCTACTACCTAGGAATAATATATTTATATATTTTATATTTATATTGCTATTTTGTGCACAATTTTATTAAGTTTGCTCAGTGTATTCACAGTGTATCATACTCCTTCATTTCAACATGTTGTAGATTAATTACAAATGACATTTCCTTCACAATTTGTTGGGTATATAACTCTTAAAGCCTGCCCATAATAAAATTTGCATAGCATTAATCATAGATGTATTCACATTGTCAGAATGAATGAATTTTGTATTGCAAGTTTGTAACCTTGACAGTGTATCTACATACTGTGTAAGACATGAAAAGACTACCAAGGCACAAAAAAAAAAAAAAAAAAAGGAAGACAATTGGACCTGATTGCGGGCTTATTCCAATCATATCTCATATTTTTTCAGATGACTCTTTGTATTCTGATGGCAGCTTTGATGATTTCTGGATGTATGGCTATGATAGTGATCACAGTCTTCCAGATGCACTCTTTTATGGCGATCATCTGGTATGTTATCCAAAACAAAATTTTTTGTTTGCTCTTGATATTACAGTATACTTACTTTCAGGAGGATACTGAACATGGTTTTTTTTTATGAAATACTTTGTGTAATTCAGGAGGATTATTAAAAAAAGATATTAACTTTTTATGTTAGGTATTTCCACTTATATACTTGTATAATTTTTAGCCCTTAGTTCACCACCCCTTTATCGTGTACAAAATTTTGGGAACACCTCTTTCATTGACCTTTTTATAGATTCTTAGTGAAAGCTTTTTCTTAAAATTGATCACTTGCCCCTTGGTTGCTATTATTGGAAGCACGCTTTCTACTGGATTTGTAAAAGACTTGCCCAGTATGAGCCAACAGGCCTACTGTATTGTAGATCAATGGTTCAGAGAACCGACATGTTGATAAATTAGACACATGTGCAACTCTTGGGTATCTTTATTGAGGAAATGTTTCGCCAAACAGTGGCTTCATCAGTCCATACAAAGGAGAATCTTGAACAGGAGGAGAATGAGGTAATCAGTCCCTCAGCCTTGAGTCGATGTGGTCAGTCCATCAGTCTTGAATAGAATACGGCATAAGTGCGGAGAAGGAGCATATAAACCGTAGGCAGGAGAGGTGCAGCAGTCATAGGTGGTGTCACATTTGTTCAATGTAGAAGTAGGTCGTGCCCAAGGATTAGGCAAGCGAAGAATTCCCAAGTATTAAGATCCCAAGAAGTTGCAGTGTCTGACAGGATTGTAGATCAACATGTTGATAAATTAGACACACGTGCAACTCTTCAGTATCTTTATTGAGGAAATGTTTTGCCACACAGTGGCTTCATCAGTCCATACAAAGGAGAATCTGAACCATTGATCTACAGTTCTGTCAGGCACTGCAACTTCTTGGGATCTTAATACTTGGGAATTCTTCGCTTGCCTAATCCTTGGGCACGACCTACTTCTACATTGAACAAATGTGGCACCACCTATGACTGCTGCACCTCTCCTGCCTATGGTTTATAAGCTCCTTCTCCGCACTTATGCCATATTCTATTCAAGAAAGATGGACTGACCACATCGACTCAAGGCTGAGGGACTGATTACCTCATTCTCCTCCTGTTCTTCAAGATTCTCCTTTGTACGGACTGATGATGCCACTGTGTGGCGAAACGTTTCCTCAATAAAGATACCAAGAGTTGCACATGTCTAATTTATCAACATGTCGGTTCTCTGAACCATTGATCTACAATCCTGTCAGACACAGCAACTTCTTGGGATATTAATACTTGGGAATTCTTCGCTTGCCTAATCCTTGGGCACAACCTACTTCTACATTGAACAAATGTGACACCACCTATGACTGCTGCACCTCTCCTGCCTACGGTTTATAAGCTCCTTCTCCGCACTTGTGCCGTATTCTATCCAAGTTTGATGGAGTGACCACATCAACTCAAGGCTGAGGGACTGATTACCTCATTCTCCCCCTGTTCTTCAAGATTCTCCTTTGTATGGACTGATGAAGCCACTGTGTGGCGAAACGTTTCCTCAATAAAGATACCCAAGAGTTACACATGTGTCTAATTTATCAGGCCTACTGTAGTGCTCCTCCTTTATATTCTTGTATCCTGCTCTGCCATATCACATATGGTGCTGCCAGGACAAGTGGTGAAGGTGTTGCTGCTACTGCTGCCACATGTTGTGTTGGCAGGGCAGCTGTGCTGGTGCCACATTTGGAGTTCGCAGGGCAGCAGCTGGTGGCGTAAGGGTTACTGGGGGTGCACCATGTGGCATGTTTACATTTCATATTAGAATTATGTTAATCACCGTCTCATGAATCAGCACTTTCCAGCCAGCCACTGGGAGAATAGCTGATTGAGGCAATTTTACCTTTGTCCCCTCTGCTGCTCCAGGAGCTAGCATTTTTTTTTTCAACCTGACAACCCAAACAAATGATCTGAGATGTAAAATTGTTGTAATCAAGAAATTTGAAGGCTAGAAAAATCACTAGTACATCATACACAAATGCTACGGCAAACATACGGCATACACAGTTTAAGGGTTAATAGCCAGACATGGCAAGGGGCAATTAAGCAGTGGTGGGCACAGTTTTGCTAACTGCTAATTAGCGTGACAAACTTTTTTTTTAGGGGATTAGCGTTTCCGCTGTCCAGAAATTGTTAGCAGACCAATTAGCTTCTGCTAAATAAAGTTCCACTAACTTTGAGTCTGTTAAAAAAAAATTCATATGTTGTTGGTAGTTGGAAAGCAATGCCTTTTCAATGGCGCACGCGTTTGTTCCTGTCTGTTGTGGGCATTTCTCCAACAGCCAGTAAGACACGCTATTGGCTGACTACGTGTAAACGAGGACTTGTCAACATGACAGCAGCAGCAGCATCTGAGCAGCGTTGTTATAGTCTTAGTGTCAGCGATCACCGGGGTGAGTTGTCACTTATTGTTATGAACAGGGGAGACGTTTGTTCTGCCTGAGGGTGTTGTTGAGGAGTCTGCAGTGGCTGTGGTTGAAGCAGGGTCCACTCAGGCTGAGGGTCAGGAGTCTCAGAACCCATGGCCTCCCCAGGGTGAGCAGGTCTTGATTGACCTATTCATTAACCCTTAAACTGTCCAAACGTATATATACGTTCACTCGTGTAGCGCCCCAAATTTTTTGAGGAAAAAAAAAAAATATTTTCCTTTAAAAGGAAAAAAGAGCATATGGTACCCAGGTATCCCCAATTATTTTAATATGGCACACAGTGAGTGCACACACCAATTCTCTCATGTCTAGGTGACTCAGGCTTATTGTGGCAATGTTGAATGAATGACAAAGAAAACGTATATATACGTTTGGGGCGCTACGCGCGTGAACGTATATATACGTTTGGACCATTTAAGGGTTAAGTACAACACCTCCATCCCATCCAGTGCTGCAGTTGAGTGCCTATTCTTTATAGGCAAAGATATCTTCAGGGCCAAGAGAGCCACCCTGTCAGATGGAAACTTTGAGAGGCTAAAGCTCATGAATGGCAGCCAGCATCATATCAAATCAATGGAGGAGACCCAGCCATCATCTGATCTTGGCATGATACCCATGCTATGCATTATGTACAGTAAATAAAGTGTGTTGGATTTCAACTGATGTTCCTCTTCAAGGGGGGCTCCTTGGCGTGGTGAAGAGGCTCTTGGTCTGAGGAATTAGACCTATCGGGCTTCTTCCTCAGACCGAACCTAATTACCCCCCAATCTCCCCTCCCCTATCCCATCCTCCCCATCCTCCCCTTTTTCCTTTCCTCCTCCTCCTCCCCACTCCTCCTTTTTGCCCTTCCTCTTTTTGGTCTTTGGGATTTCTCCCACGGGGCGCGCTAGTTCCTGGGTAGGAGAAAGGAAAACCGGGGTCCATCCCATTCCGTTGAGGTTTCTTGGCGGTGGCGTAGTTTGCCGTGGAATCTGGATTGCCTAGGGATGTCCCGATCCCTCTCCGAAATCCCGGGTAGCTTTGGGTGTTTTTTGGGCGACGGGTGAAAGCTCTGGAAGCCACCTTTCGGTTTCCCGGGGGGTGGTGGCTAAAGGAGGTAGCTTTGTGGCGGATACCCGGGCCGCCCCTCTTTTGTCCACCGGGGTAGCTCGGCAGATGTGAGGTTGCTATCCCAGATTGCTGGTTTACTGGATGAAGGGTAGGGTATGGCACGGGTTCCATGCTGCATCTGCGCTACTAGCGGTGTCGAGTCCTCTTGGGCGCGGAGGGAGATTTCTGGCCCTTTCATCCCCCTAGGAACTACCCCCCCGGTCCCCCCTTTTTTTTTTCTTTTTTTTTATTTTTATTTTCTTTTCTTCTTTCTTTTTTTTTCTTAAAAACAAAAGAAAGAAGTAACCTAACCATGGCACCCCTAGTCATGAACCTGTACCCCCCCCGGGCCCCTTCTTGAAAAACCGCACCCCGTTCTGACCCGCCTCGTTTTTGGACCACTTTTCAGACATTCCTCATGCCTCTGTACCTATTGCCGGTGCTGTTTCCTCACCCGCTTCAGGTACTGAGGCCTCGACTGACTCCTTCGATTTATCAGACCTTCGCTCTCCTCTGACTATGTTTCCCGGGCCCTTTCTCCCCCCTTACGGTGCGGCAATTTTCAAATCGCCGACCCGTTCCACGTCGGACCAACTCTGGTCCCACGCCTAAACGTCAACGACAATTACCTGCGATGATACTTCTCCACCTTCCCCATTCTCGTTCTTCTCAGAACGACGACACGTCCTTCACTACCTTTCCACGCTCAGTTTCAGACTGAAAAATGGGACTAAATTCTTCACTTTACGACCAACTTCCTCTACTGCCTATCTTTCTGACCATAGTATTTGCAAGGCACTCCTACGCCATGTTGGTAAAGATATTTCTTTTCATGCCTTAAGGCGGAAACGCGCATCATTACCGTACAGAATGCTACCCAGGCTCGTGAGCTCTCTCGTCTTACCCATTTTAGATACTGTTCCTGTCACCCTTGAAAAACATCATTCCCCAATTCTTGTAGTGGTACCGTTATTCTGCCCCATACCATAGTTCAACAAATTTCCAACATGTGGCACCGACATTCTAGAACAGCTGGAACTCCAAGATCTCCCAATCCTCAAGGTAGACACTTACGTTCTTCCTGCCCTTTGGCGGAGACGATACCCTAGCAATGTGGCTCGTTTAACTTTTGACAGCCGAGAACTCCCATCCTCCGTTTATATAGCAGGACATCGGTTACAAGTTCGAAAGGTGATCCCTAAAACCACAACAGTGTAGAAATTGCGGGCGATTTGGCCATCCAGCGAAATATTGCAGATCTATCGCCGAATGCCCAGTCTTTGGGGTGCCGATGACCATTCTAATACGTCTTGCAATCGATCTCCCTCTTGCCTTAACTGTCATGAGGCTCACCCTTCGTACTCCGCCGTTGTCAGGTCTATTTAAAACGAGCGGGAAATCCGTTACCTCAAAGAGACAAAAGGGTCTCCCTTATGCCAGGGCCCAGTTTCTC